ATCACGATAAATGTAGAAAAGATTGAAGTGTCAAAGATTTCATATTACTTGTATCCACAATCAACACCAATGGAAGCAGCAGTCAAGAAATCAGACATAGTATTGCACTGGGCAAATCTGCTGTAAAAGACCTCTTTTAAAGTGTTGAAGAGCAAAAATGTCACTTTGAAGACTAAGTTGCACCTGACTCAAGCCATTGTACTTTCAATCACCTCATATGCATGTGAAAAGTGGACAACGAACAAAGAAGATTGAAGAAGAGTTGATCCTTTTGAGTTGTGGTGTTGGAGAAGAATACTTAAAATACCAAGGACTACCAGAAGAATGAACAAATCTGTCCTGGAGGAAGTGCAGCCGGAATGCTCCTTGGAAGCAAGAATGGCAAGACTTCACCTTAAATACTTTGGTCATATTGTCAGAAGGGACCATTCCCTACAGAAGGATATCATGCTTGGTAAAGTGGAGGGTCAACGATAAAGGGGAAGGCCCTCAACAAGATGGATTGACACAGTGGCAGCAATGATGGGCTGGATTGTGAGGCTGGCACAGGACCAGGGAATGTTTCATTCTGTTGTACATAAGGTCACTATCAGTTGGAGACAACTCGATGGCACCTAACAACCACAACAACATCTTTATTCCAACAGATGTAGAAACTTGAACCTCAGAAAACTGTCTCATCCAAGATCACACAGCTAGTAAATGATGGAACCACTACTGAAATCCAGATTTGTCCATGTTCTTTCTACTATACTATGGATAGAAAATCAGTTTCTAATCATCTGACAGCTGAAATCCATAATGCACAATGTTGAGAAAAGATTCTGATGCTACATCTAGTCTCCACAGAGAGTTGTGGCACAATTGCCATGTATTTGACCCCTACATTACAGCTGAATTGCTGCCAAAATAGAAAGTATAACCATGAACATCATCATTACTAGTCTCAAGGAAGGATTTAAATTTTCTGATAAAGGGTACTAAGAAAAATAAGACTGCTTGGAGAGAAAAGTAAGTGGGGTCTAACAATTCTAAGAATTCTAAACAAGAGCATAATTTATTGCAAACACTGCTTTGACAGAAATCTTTAGTAAAGAAAGTAGTCAGACTAAATGATAGTTTTGAAAATAGAAATGTCAATAACAAAAAACAAAAATCACTGGCGTTGAGTCATTTCTGACTCATAGCAACCCCTCCTTGGGTTTCCAAGGTGGTATCTCTATGGAAGTAGATTGCCCAATCTTCCTTCTGAGGAGTTTTGAACCACTAGCCTTCTGGTTAGTGGTCAAATGCCCAAGGCGTTACACCACCAGAGCTCCCGAAAATGTCAATAAAGGTACTATCAATTTGTTACTCTTTAATGGATACTCCAGCCACTCCTCGGAAGAAAGATTGGGCAATCTACTTCCATAGTGATACTGCCTCAGAAACCCAAGGAGGAGTCGCTATGAGTCGGATCTGACTCAATGGGAATGAGGTTTTTTTTTTTTTTTTTTTTAATGGATATTAGCTATTGATTATTCTAACTGAATTTAAAACATTTTGCCTTTCCCCTAGAGAGTGTTAGCTCTTTGATGGAACAAAGCTCCCATGTGTCAGCATCTTTCAGAACTATTTCTTACAGCACGTATTACAGCATTTTTCAGGTAAGGGTATATAGTCCATACATATCAATGAGAACAGTATCTTAAGCAAAATCCTTCACCCTCTACAATTCCACTCTAAATTTTTAATTTCTTCCAAAAATTTCATTTACATATTTTTTATCTTGATATGGTATAGTGGAAAGAAGCAAATCCCAAAAAAACCTTATATACTTACAATCTCTCAAAAGAGTATTACTTTTTCTTGGGTACAAAACATGCATGAATTTTTTCCCAACAGCTTTTAAATCTCGCATCTGAAAGACATAAAGGACTTTTTGTATTGTGATGACAAAGGTTGCCACGTAGCCCTCCTAATTTAATTTGCTAAAATTTCTTTTATTTCAATCTCCGGGGGCCCTACACTGAATCTTAGAGCTACAATTCCAGTTCAACTACACTATTCAGACAAATCAGAGAATAGGGTATGCTTATTTTATTAACTCCTTAAGCCAACATCTAATACTTTCCCACATCACCAACTGTTTTGATCTTGAAAACTTTATAAGTGAGAAATATAGCCCTTCTAATATAATATGTTTAAGAACCTAAATTATGGCAGTACTAAAAGTTTCACTACAAAACATAGCAACTGCAATTCAGTTAGTACAGGATGAGGTTCCAGGACCAATTAGCCTGCTCTCTAGCTACCACATTCTTTGTAATATATAAATTAATTTCCAACATTTTCAATTTAACTGGCAAATGAATCCCAGAAGTCAGATAAAAAGATAAAGATATTTGAGAAAAGATACAGTAATGCAAATATAACCTTTCAAATTACAGCTGACATCATTCTATTGTTTTTTACCTACAAATTTCCCCAACCCACAGATGTAACATAGTTTATGTAATCAATACTCTTTAAATTGTTTTCCATTTATGCCGTTTCTAACTTTTTCAAATTATAAAAAATGCTGCAATGAACATCACTGTGTATTAATAGTTTTCAGTATTTAAAAATATTTTCCTTATACTATATTTGGAGAAGCAGAATTGGTTTAAAAAGACTTAAACATTTTAAAATTCCTAATACTCATTACAGCCAAAGTGCTTTCCAGAAACACTGTGACAAATTACTCTCTGGGGGAAAATTTTAAATAAATGAAAAGTACTTAAAATCAGTGAACCAAACAAAAATATTGCACAGTGTTATTACTTATTTATTCTCATGACACTGAACAGAAGTTCTCTCAATTAGTCTAACTTACGATGGTATTCTGAACTGATTCATTTAATGTGGAGCTGTCAAATTCCCGAATGTGAGATCTCATAGGAATGGTGATTTCTCCTTCTATGGGGATGTCTTGTGAGATGGATATATCTGAAAGGCCTGCAAACTGAGAAAAGTTAGAAAAAAAATTAAAAGCTTGTAATAAATATTCCCCAAAGATATAATCTCCTAAGAGTAGGGATCAGGTCGTTATTTTTAGGGTTTTACACAGTTGCAATGTTTGGTTCAACAGAGGTTTTTTGTTTGTTTGTTTTAAAGGAGATAGACTATGATGGGAAAAATATCTAAAGTAAATGCCATAGGCACCTTCTTGCCCTCAAATGTTTGGTTTCTTTCAAGCCTGAAATCTTTACATAACACTCATAGCTAGCAAGATTTAGACAGAAACTCTAGAGCTATTAAAAAGTACCTTTTTGCAATTTCATCTTAAAACAGTCACATTTTGGTAGTCCTTCTGCACCTTACGAACCCTGGTAACACGGTGGTTAAGCACTCAGCTACTAATCGAAAGTTAAGCCAGCTTCTCTATAGGAGAAAGATGAGACGCTCTGCTTCCATAAAGATTTACAGCCTTGGAAAACCTACGGGGCAGTTCTACTCTGTCCTACAGGTTCCTATGAGTCAGAATGAACTCCACAGCAGTGGGTTTTTTTCCCCCTCCTCTGGTAGACTCTGGTGGCACAATGGTTAAAGCATTCAACTGCTAACCAAAAGTTCAGCAGTTTGAATCCACCAGCCACTGCACAAGAGAAAGATGAGGCAGCCTGCTTCTATAAAGATTTTTAGCCTTGGAAACCCTATGGGGCAGTTCTATTTTGTCTTATAGGGTTACTATGAGTTGGGATTGACTGGATGGCAGTGGGTTTGGTTTTTTTTTTTTTTTTTTTAGTAGACTGTAGTAGCCTCTTCTGGCTAAAAGAGAATATAACATAGAGCCAGATAGAACTGGGAAGAACAGGGCGATAAAGGCAAAATAAACCTTGATCTACACTTTTTTTTCAAACCAGGCTTTGATCTGCCAACCACAGATCAAATAACATTATCCAAATGAATTGAAAAAATGCAAACTTTTAAATTCTTCAACTTTCAAATTTTCTTATCACAACAGAAACTCTGAAATTTACAATATTCTAAGAAAAATAATCAATTCCTTCTCATAGTTTTTGGTCCAGAGGGCACAATTTTTAATAAGGAACAGTTATAGGTAAATGAAATGTGAGAAAATATACAAAAATTTTAGGAATCATAAGCAAAGAACTTAGGAAAACAACTTCTCAACCACCTTCATAATAAGAGAAATGTGCATTAAAACTACTTGAATAATTTCTACCTTAAGACCGGCAAAAATCCAAAAGTTTAACAACATATTCTGATGGTAAAGCTCAGGGAAAAGAACACTCACACACTGTTGGTGGGAATACAAAATCGTACAATGCCTTACTGGAGATGAATCTGGCAGAATCTGGCAAATTTATATATTGATCACGTTTTGACTCAGCTATGCTACTTTTAGAAGTCTATCCCAAAGACAACTGGTAAACATATAAAAAAGGCATTTGCACAGGCTGCTTTGTTAAGCTCCTTATAAAAGCAAAAATTGAGAATAACCCAAATGCCCACCTACAGAGGAGTAGGTGAATGAATTATGTTGCACTATGCAACTGAAAGCAGAAATGGGAATCTCTAAAGAACTTTTATTGAGTGTTAAATGAAAAAGCAAGGTGGAGAAAAGTTTGCATAATATGCTACCACTTATCTAAAAAAAAAAAAGAGGATACAAATATGTATAGATATCTGCATACATTTTTTAATATGTAAGAAATAAGCCACACCATTTTAAAAAGAAGAGAAAAAAAGGTTTCCTACAGAGAAGAGGAGGGAATAGGGTAAAGGACAGAAGGAGGGAAGCTAGATTTCACTGAATATACTTTGATCTGTATTATGACTTGAAAAACCGTATTTTTGTTATTGTTGTTGGTTGCAACTGAGTTGATTCTGATTCATGGCAACCCCATGTACGCAGGGTGAAAGTGCTCCATAGGGTTTTCAAGGCTGCAATCTTTCAGAAGCAGATCACCAAGCCTGTCTTCAGAGGTGCCTCTGGGTGAGTTTGAACTCCAAACCTTTCAGCTAACAGTCAAGCATTTAACTGTTGTACCACCCAGGGACTCCCTGAAACCCTGTAGTTAACATAATCATGAAACATCAAAATTTAAAAGGAGCAATCCTGATTTGAACAAATGATAAAAAGATTGTTTTTTAGAGAATTGGGGGAAATGAGCAACTGTTAATAGGCTTGGTTGCTA